TAATTTTGAACACTTTACGTTCTAAATTCTTAAGTTTGTCCTATTTAACACCAATCAATGGTTACGTTTGCAAAATTAATGAGATAAAGGGCGGTAAAATTTAATGATAATATACAGTTTTGTTCCAACTATGATTCCTTAGTTTTTTTTTACCATTTTTAGTACATTATCATTTATTTGTATGGTCTCAATTACTAATATTATTAACAAAATTAACCAGACAAAAGATGGTGCAAATTAATGATAATGTATTATTTTATTTTTACTATGATATCTTGGCACCTTTTGATTACTTTTGGTACATTATAATTGATTTGTTGGGTCCTCTATACTATTAATTTTGTAAAAGTTGACATTGACTATATTTAAATAGGATAAACTTGAAAGTGCATTTGAGATTCACATACTTTTCTTCATCAAGTATGAAGCACATTCATATATTCAGAAGATTACAAAGAATTAAGAAGTGTATATGCTTGACCTTTTTGCTCCACAAGACCATCATCTTCAATTATCAAAAGAGATTTATCACAAAATCATGCATAAGAACTAACTATAATTTTTTTTTTTTGGTAAAAAAGAACCAACTTTAATAACGAGATAAAATGTAAACCTCAATGCGTGTCACAAGCTCATTGAAAGCTTGCTTCTTTATTTAAACCTCGGCTACTTACAAGTTCTCCAATCATTAGATCATTAACAACTTTCCTAAGTCATTTTTCTCTGAAATTTCTTCTCTTTTAGACAAACCTTCATGGGTATTACCAAGACAGACAATGTATTATATATGTAGAAGATACTTGTATAAGTCACAGTTGAAGCTGATGAGCAAAACAATGATATAATATGCAGAACTATTTTCCTTCACAATCAAAGTTTTTAAACCATTATATTCCCTTTGTACGTTATTTGCACCATCATAATCTTGATTATAGTTGCAAACGAGTCAGTTCAAGTCGAGTTTTGATAATCAAGCTAAGTCTTGACTTAGTTATATCAAACTCGAACTCGAACTCGACGAACTTTCAATGTAAAGATCAATTTTGACTCAAATTTGAATCATGTTTGAGCTCGAGATCGAGTTTAAAATATAAAAAATAATTATTTTATTTTTAAAAAATGAATAAAATAATAATTTTTCTTAACAAATAATAAAATATTAGGAATATATATGTAATTTTACTATACATATAATCAAGTCAGATCGCAAGTTAACGAGTTGAGTATTTTTGAACTCAAGTTCGAGATCGAATTTGATTTGGTCAGCTCGAGCTCGACTCGAGTTTGATGTTGACCGAGTTTGAATCGATCTTTGACTCGAGTTACTCACGAGTTTATCGATTCGTTTGCAGTCCTAATTTTATATACCGATTTGAGATATACACAAACCATACTTTAAAAATAAAAGTATCTATTGCTTATTTAAGTGAAAGAATATGATTTACATGTAGAATGCCAAGAAAACACTCAATTACATATCCATGTGAATCCACTAACATAAGGTAATTGCAAATTGCTCCTTTCATCACACAAAGTGACACACAATTCATGTCCATTGTCATTAACAATAATGCTTGCAGTCTCACTTTCAAAATATTTGTAATATCATTCTGTATATCAGAACCAATGACCTTGAAATTTTTAGGAGCATTTTCAAGGACGGTTTTTTTAGAGTATTATTGTGATCTACAATAAAATGCAAAAGTTTAGTAACATTTCCTTTAGAGCAAATTACGCGAAATGTCACCAAATTATTGTGAGGTGCCGATTTTGATCACTAAACTTTTTTATTAGCCAAAAATGTCACTGAACTAGTAAATCTGTACCATTTTGGTTACTCCGTCTATTATGCCATTAGGAGAGATGGAAAGTAACTTTTTGAAAGGCAATTTCGTCAACACAGCTTTTTCCTTGAAGCTTTCCGGCATAAATTGCTCTCAAATGTGTCAGACAACTCCCAAAGGCATTTAATAAAAAACAAAAAAAAATAAGCCCATGATTCGAGCAATCAATATCCACAATGCAAATGATCATATCTATCAGCCACAAATAAAAAACAAAAGAGAGATAAAAAGTTAAACAGATCTGAAGAATGAAGAACCGATTACTTCCTCATTTGAAGAGATTATTATACCACTTAAACAAGTTTTCTCAGAGGTCGTACCAGCAAAAGTACTCGAGACAGCTATCCGAGCAGTCATAGAAGCAAGAACAACTGAATCAAACAAAACCCATTAAAAGAATCCAAAAAAAAAAAAAAGTTCAATCTTAGAAGTTTTCTAGTGCGGGGAAAGATCTCTCATTTTTCTTCTTGGTTTTTTTTTTTTGTTTTTTGGATTAAGAAAAGCAATCGATTTGTTGAAGACTCCGATCTCAAAGAGTACTGTTCATCCAACTAAAGCGCAAAAGCCAGAAGCCCATCAGCATCATTAAGCAACTTGGGCAGATGTAAGTGTGTACAAGTAGCATCTACCAGTAATTAATTTGAGAAGTACTAGCGCAGAGTGTCAGCTGGAGAAGTAATTGGATTGTTAATTTATTTTTGATTTTGGTGGATTAAGAAAGAGAAGGATGAGTAAATAAATGTGAGGGTTGAAAACAGGAAATGGGAAAGAGGGAGGAGCTTTGGAAAAAGTCATATGATTTTGTGTGATGGTGGTGGGGGTTACTACCGGTACAAAACACCAGAAGGAGAAAAAGGGAGGAAGGGGGATGGGGGGAGAGAAGCCCTAAAAATAAAAGAAAGGGGAAAGGCGTTGGGGAAATGAGCCTTGTCCTACACATCTTCTTGTGAAGGGTAGTTGCCGTCTATTGATTGGACCTGGGGAGGTTCCATCTCAAAAAGGTTCCATCTCAAAACTTGCACTCTTTTTTGGGGGATTGATCGGAATTTCAAGAAGAAACTAAAAAGGATTAACAAGACTAGAGAAATAAGAGTACCATTTATTGGGTCGGAGTTCCCAACAAGACTGGAGTAATAAATGCCTTTGGGAGTTGTCTGACATGTTTGAGAGCAATTTATGTCGGAAAGCTTTCCATCTCAGATTTATTAAAAAGTTACTTTCCATCTCTCCTAACGGCATAAATAGACGGCATGACCAAAATGGTACAGATTTATTAGTTCAGTGATATTTTTGACTAATAAAAAAGTTTAGTGACCCAAACCGGCACCTCGCATTAGTTTAGTGACATTCGTACAATTTGCTCTTTCCTTTATTTTCAAAGGTATCACATTCATCATGACTGCGTTTAACGAATGCTACTTCAATGTGCCAATTTTGATGGAAAAAAATGGTATTTATTCCAAATCAGGGCCCTGTTTGGAATCTAAGTTTTTTGGAAGTCTGTTTAAAACTTTACTGTAGTGTATTGTAGAAGTTTTTGGAAAAATTTTTTAAGATGAAAAACTTGTTTTTCCTTTTCTTTTTTTTTTTCTTTCTTTTTCTTTTTCTTTCATTCCTTTTTCTTTTCTTTCCTCTCTTCTTCCCCCTCCCCTTCCTTCCCCCTCCCCTTCCTTCCCCCGCTACCTCCCCAGCAGCCATGGTACTATCATTTTTTTTCTTTCTTTCCTTTTTCTTTTCTTTCCTCTCTTCTTCTTTTTCTTCCTTCCCCCTCCCTCTTCCCTCCCCTGCCACCTCTGCCCATGGTCCCAAATTTTTTTTTCTTCTTTTTCTCTTCCCCTCTTCTCCCTCTCTGCTCCCCTCTCCCCCTCTATTCTCTTTCACCCTCCCCCTCTCCTAGGGGTGAGCAATTACGGTAATTATCGATTTACCGACTGAAATCGATTTCAATTTGGTAATTCGAATTCGGTAATTCGGTCGGTAATTCGGGAATATCATATTAGTTGAAATCGAATTAGGGTCGAAAATGGTTTTATAGTTTTTCATTTCGGATTTACCGAGTTCGAATTTATTTCGGTAAAACGGTAATAATTTACCGTTTTCAATTTCGAAATTCCCGAATTAAGTTACATAGGAAATAATACATTATGTCCGGATATTGGTCCAATTTCAGATTTTCAGGCGCGGTGCCCTAAACTAGCTACTTTTCTCTAGTCCTCTTCGTCCCATCTTCCTCTTGTTCCTCTGCATTGCTGCGACGCCGTCCCCTCTTCCTCTTCTTTTTCCTCTCGTTTCTTCTCTCCTCATTCTCTTCAGTCCTCTCCTCAGTCAGTCCTCTCCTCTCCTCAACTATAGAAAGCTCAAAGCTCACTCCTAGACTCTTTCTCCGTTTCCCGTTCTGACCGAGGCTTCACCATTGCTGACCGAGCATCCACCATCACCAGGACCATGGTTCGCTAGTGCTGATTCCGGTGAAGGTAAGTTAAGTGCTTCACTTTGTAGATTAATAAGTTGCCCTAATTTCGAAATTTATTTGATTTGAAACATGTGTAATTTTGGGTTTGGTTGAAAAATGTTTGATTGGTGTGAAGCTACTTCTTATTCAACATGAAGTTGCCAAAGTGGTGTCTGAGGAGATTGAGTTACACTGTTATTCTTTCTATTTCTAGTTAATAGCTGTATGAAGAAATTTTTACAATCTTTCACCTGAAGAGTTGCTTAGTATGAAGAAATTTATTTGCTTGATCAGTGCTGTTGGTGAGGTAATTGTGCCTTCCAAGGGTAACTTGTTCTGAGTTCATTGTATTAGCTTTTGCATTTCTTAGACGTTTGTTAGTGTGAAGCACTGTTTCACACTTTCACTATATGCTATTATGCTTCCTCAGTGTCATTCTGTTCTTGGCTTCATTGAATTTGGTTAAAGATAAAAAATAAAAAAAAAAGAATGCAGATTTTGGTGCAAAGATGTCCTAAGACGTCAAAACAGGAAGAAACTTGGGATCACTTTTTATGTAAAAGTCCCTTTTCAGTTTTGAGAGGAAATGTTGTCCTAAGTTGGTTCTTCAATTTCATCTAGTCTTTTATTTCAATTTTATTGCTAATTGATTGTTGCACTAAATTGTATAATTTATTTGCTCAGATTTTCAAAAAACTTAAGGTATGTCTACTACTGATGATGGTGAGAGTAATCCAAGTCGCAATGAGCTGGAACAAGAAGGATCATCTGGACCTCTTCTTCCTAGTCCTACAACACAAAGTTGTGAAGAATCTGGTTTTGTCAAGAAAAGAGGAGAGTACAAGAAGAGGTCCAAAGCTTGGGATCATTTTCATGTAAATTAAGTATGTGAATGGAGTTCGTCATGCAATTTGCAAATACTGTGAGAAGGACATAGCTGCGGATCCCAAAAGTCATGGTACGACTCCCCTTAATACTCATGTAGCTAAATGTCCTCTAAATCCTAAAAATAAGCACACTGGCCAGGCTACTTTGTGTTTGGGTGAAACTGAAACATTAGAGGGAGAGGTTAAAGGGGCACTCATAAGTTGGAAATTTGATGCGGAAGCCATTAGAAAAAGCATAGCTTATATGGTAATTGCTGATGAGTTGCCATTTAAACATGTAGAGGGTAGAGGTTTTCAATACATGATGTGGACTGCTTGTCCATCATTTAGAATTCCTTCGAAGTGGACTATTTCTAGAGATTGCTATCAGCTGTATTTAGATGAAAAAATTAAGTTGAAACATCTCTTGAAGAATAACAGTGGCAGAGTTTGTCTAACCACAGATTCTTGGACATCCATTCAAAGGATAAACTATATGTGCCTCACTGCCCATTTCATAGATAATGATTGGAAACTGAACAAAAAGATCCTAAATTTCTGTCCTATTGCTAGTCACAAGGGAACTGAAGTTGGTAAGGCCATAGAAAAGTGTCTACTAGAATGGGGAGTTGATGATATCCTAACTGTTACAGTTGACAATGCAAGTTCCAATGATGTAGCTGTCAGCTATTTACGAGGAAAACTTCAAAATTGGGGGAAAGCTGTGTTGGGGGGGAAATGGACTCATGTGAGGTGTGTAGCTCACATAGTGAATCTAATTGTTAATGATGGCATCAAAAAACTTGGGGATTCAGTTGATTGTATCAGGGCAGCAGTTAGATATGTTAGACAGTCATCTTCTAGATTGAAAAAATTCAAGGAGTGTGTTGAAATTGAAAAAATTGAATGCAAAAGATTGCTCTGTTTAGATGTCTCTACTATGTGGAATTCTACATATCTAATGCTAGACACAGTTCAAAGGTTTGAGTGGGCTTTTGAGAGGTTCGAGGAGCAGGATCCTTACATGCTTCAAGAGTTAGAAAATCTGCCAACAAAATCTGATTGGACAAAAGCTAGATTCTTGGTAATTTTTTTGGAAAACTTTTATCAGCTAACTGTGAAGGTTTCCGGTTCCAAATATGTGACTTCAAATAATTTTTTCACTGATATTAGTCACATTCATGGCATTTTAATTGAAATGACAGCAAGTGATAATGAAGAATTGAGTTCAATGGCAAGATCAATGAAGGAGAAATATGATAAGTATTGGGGAAAGATTGAAAAGATGAATATGCTGATTTTTATTTCCTCCATGCTTGATCCTCGAACTAAACTTGAATACCTTGAATTTGTGGTTTGCCAAATGTATGGTGAGTCCGATGGTACAACAATAGCTGGCCTTGCAAAAGATGCAATGTTTGAGCTGTTTAATGAATACAAGATGCTTAACACACCTGCCTCAAATTCTGTGTCTCATGCTTCTTCACTTTCAAGTGAATCTCAAAGGAGTAAAACTACATTTTATGGACATGGGTGGGGGCAGCAGGTTTGGTGCTGTTGGTGCATTTGTTGTATTTTTTATATGATATGGTTTGATAAGTTTAGCCCAAATCTACTACCAATGCGTGAGGGGCAAACTTGACACGGAAGCGTAATTAAGAAACAGATACTTGGGAACCTTAAACCTTGAGGAGGGCATTTGAGAAATGTTGAATAAATCAACCAGTACAAAGTAAGAATGTCATAAATATGTCAAAGATATAATAATAAGCTATTAAGACTAGGGCTTTTTATAGGCTCTAAGCTAGTAAAAATGTACAAGGAACATTCATGTTGTCATTGATAAACACAGTAAAGAAGCTGTCACTAGGAGCAACTATATATTATAAATGGAAGCGGAGAAATTATGGGGTGTTCCAATATAAAGCCTCTGATGGTAGAATGGAGGAATGTATCGAGTACAAGAGACAACTGGTTACTTTGCCGTAGTTGGAATTTTCTCCAAGACATTTTCCTTAAATGTTGATAGCATAACTATAGTTTAGTTGATTGTAGCAGTACTACTATATAGTTTAATTGGTTGTAGCAGTACTTTTGTGCAGCAGATTCCTCTGCTCTTGTGTAAATTCATGTTCAATTCAATAAAATCTCTTTTTACGTAAAAAAAGGTATAAGGAACATGAAACATTAAAATAAGAAAACTAATTAACGAACATGAAACTACTAAAAACATTTAAATAGAAAGCAAACAAAAAAAAAAAAAGACAAAACTGCTGAAATCTCACAACTATCTGATGTAGATCCGGCTTGGAGAGCCATGGATCTGGCGCTTGATCAATTGAAATTTTCCCCCACGAGCTCTTTTCTTCGATCTTTCTTTAATGACATGATACATCTAAGTAAATAAACATACTAAATAAAACTATGTTGAAGACCTTAATTATAAATCCTATGATGATTTCTTGGGTATCTTTATTGAGGTGGCAATAGGGTTTTCAACTTGGAGTTTTTCGTTCCACATCAGACTCCTCCACTTCAAAAAATGCTTGTCTGCTAGCTTCATGAAAAATCTTGATGCAGGAACAGCACATGAATATCACCACGATCCTTTCACGAATTTGGTAAACCCCAAACTTGCAATCTCGTGCCGGTCACAAACATAAGACACCATATAAAAATTCATCTCTAATTCTTGGGGTCTCAAAAACAACTCAATCTTTTCTCATTATCTTCTGCTTCAATCTATAGTATTCGAGTTAGACAAAAACCTAACTGAACACCATTCTTTGATCTATATAAGATAACTATTTTTTTTTACTAACATTATTTTTTAGTAGCAAAGAATAGACTACAAGTATTCCACCAAAGGATATAGATTTAGAAAGACAAGTACAGAGAACCTCAAAAAGATATTGCTTTAAGCTCTATTTATAGGTAGATTTTTATAGGAATCACAAATAGGTAAGTAAGAATAATCGTTAGACAATTTCAATTACAAAATATAATGGTTTAGATTAATTTTATAATTGTCAAATTACCATTAATATGGCCCTTATATCCGTTACAAAAATTCTCCATTTGTGCATAGAACTTGTGACCGAAATATCAGTAAATAATTATGAAAAATTTGTATTTTTTTCATTAAAACACCCCAACAATTTCTACATCCCGAAACCCGAATCCTTTAACTTCTTTGGACTTGCAAACCATGTCCTAGACTCCTAGGCCGCATTATGAACTTTTCTTTTAAAAAATCCTTAGTGTCTCCCCAGAGGATTTTTTTATTGGGTCATATATCTCAATGTCGTTTAAACACCAATGGGGATCTATTTATTGAATGCTTGGTGTAGAAGGGAATCGAAGAGGATACAAGTCAAAGTTGGTGATGGTTGTGATGCCTTTGTTCTGCTATGACACAACCCCTTAGGATTACGAAATCTAGCCAGAACTTAAGAATTATTATATCATCAAAAAGGAAAAAAGGAAAAAAAAACTATGAAGCTTTGATTTATTGAACTTTTGAATAACAGTTTGCTTTAGTCGTTTAAATTTCTAAATATGGCTACTTAGTTCTTCAGATATCAAATTGGGTTTTGATGGGCAAGTAGTCATGGTCTCTAGTCCTCAATCCGATTTCTTTTCTTGGGTTGAACTGTGTATGTGATTAAATTTGTTTACTATGCTTTCCTTTTTTTTCGAATTTTCCTTCTTTACTATGATTATTTTTCCAAACAACCAGAAAAATTTCCATCAGAATATAAACACTAGTAGAGAAAATCTAGTTTGATACACTCATGTTTAGACAAAAGAAACTTGTTATAAATTTCTAACTTATGAAGGCCTTTTTTTTATATATATATTTTGTATCCTTGAGGCACAAAATAAGCACACAAACTATAAGGTGTAGTTTCAGTAAAAAGTTCAAAAATTATTATCCACCTCTTGCTTAAATTTTTGCCTACAAAATTTAAACTTGTTCAAACAACTAAAACACTAGATTCATTGATCTTATCATGTACCTTTTAGGGTATAGAATGGAAGAAACCATTTATGAATACGAATTTAAGTGATTCAACCATATATCATTATGATATGAAAAAGATGTTTCCAAAAGTTTCAAGTGAGATTTTAAGTCTTATAAGGAGGTATGGAGAAAGGAAAGGATTTGAGAATTCAACAAGAGAAATTTGTATCAGCTACTTAATATTGTTACAGATTAAATTAGATCTTGGGGGTATTTATGATTTTGTTTCAGAATCATGTTTTAAGACAATTTTATGTTTTGAAACTCTAATAACAAAGAAAAGCCTAAATCTTTTTCCCCCCCTTAAGTGAAAAAAGCCCGGTCTAGTTCTGGCTTCATTCATCTGGACAAGCACAAAACTAATCCATGCCAATATCCAACAGCATACAACGTTGAATTGGGTTATTCTGAAAGGATGTCAAACACCAATTCCACAGTCCACAGCCCGGAACCTAACATGATATATATTACTCCAACTAAGGGAACTCGATGTATTCTTTTTATACTAAAACTTGTGCTGGCAACATGGAAAAGAAATTAAAACCTCTACCTTAACTTACATTGGGGGTTTTTTAATTATGAAATAGAATTATTATTATTATTATTAGGGATAATTTTAGAAACCTCAGTCCCTGAGGTTTCTGACAATGTCACTAGCCTCCCCTAAAGCTTGTAAAATTACAGAAACCTCCATTAAGGTTAAGGTTTTGATAACAAAATTAGTCCAATTAGAAACAATAACATTAAAAAATTACTTAATTAGTACTTTTTAATGTTACTTTTTCTAATTGGACTAATTTTCTTATAAAAACCTTAACCTTAGGGGAGGTTTACATAATTTTACAAACTTTAAAGGAGGCTAGTGAAATTGCTAGAAGTGTCATGGGAGGTTTCCAAAATTATTATTATTAGTTTGTTTAGGTAGAGGTTTAGATGGCTATACTACTACTTCCAAGCTGCGTAGTAGGTTTTATAATATATAGAGGATCCAAGGACCGTGAGATCTGGGATCTTAGGAACATTCCATTCATTCCAGTGTTTTAAACTAATTGTTACAAGAATTTTAATTCTACACACATTCTGCATGGGTTCTTTATATAATTATGCACCCCAAACCACCTTGCAATCTCAATTAGTTATTAACATGGTTGCAATCTTTAAAATTACAAAGAAGTCCATCTTTAAATATGAGTTTGTGAGAGGCGTAGAAGAGAGTTGCGACTTTGGGAGGTAAAATTTTTGTTTAAGAGTCCGTTTGTTTCGGGTGAAAATGTTTTTCAGGAAAATATTTTCCTAATTTCTCGTGTTTGGTTGCACAAAAGTTACTGAAAACATTTTCCTATGTAAAATATTTTCACTCATCTTATGGAAAACAACTTCCCTTCAAAACTTACTAAAGTTGTTTTCCGAAAGGCATGCATCCCGCCTGTAGTATGTTCCAAACTTACTGAAAATATCTTGTAGTATGTTCTTTTTTTTTTTTTAGTGTAAATAGGAGGATTCGAACCCAAGATCTCTTCCTTACACTCCCTTCCCTGTACCACCCAACCCCCCCTCCCTAGTATATTCAAAATTAAAAAAAATCTCATCCTGCTCATCCTATGCTAGTAATTAATTATGTATAATAGGGACATTCTTTTCAAGAGAAACTTTCAGCAGTGAGAGTGCAAGATATATGTCACAATAAGCATTGCATGTGATTAATATTTGCCACTAAATGACCAGCAATTTGTTTATTGCTTAAGGAGATATTTTTTATTCATATATACATTTCTCCAAGATTTTTTAAAGTTAAACAATGAGATAAATTTTCTTATTTTGCATGGGAAGAAGTATGTAGTTATAATGTGTAGAAAGTAAAGATAGAGATAAAAGTGAAAATATTTCAAAAGTTAAACAAACACCAGAAAAATGAAGTAAGAAAAATATTTTCAATAAGTTAACCAAACACCTAAAAATGATGAAAGGGAAATGATTTTCAGGGAAAATTACTTCCACGGAAAATATTTTCCCAAGAAAAATATTTTACTTCTAACCAAACAGACCCTAAATGTAATGCCACCCGTTTTTAACTAAGCAGCACAACTGCTCCACTTTTATTCATATGAAAATAAGTTTACGTTGTTGTATAAAAAAATTTCCAGACAACTCATTTACGTAATGAGTACTGAAGCACATTCCAAGGAAATAAAATGACTAGAGCAAAAGGCTTTTGGTTTCTGTGGCACCCATGCATATGCAACAACAAATCGGGTGGAATGAATATTTAACTTCAACAACTTATTGGGGAAAAGTTCAAATTTTTTTCAAAATTATATAAAGGGAAAATGGTTCAAAATGTCTCTCACATTTTGTCAAATGAATTTTTTGTCTTTCACATTTAAAATAGTAATTTTATATCTCTTACAAAATTAAATCGGTAAAATTTAGTCATAACCTAGATTTTGATCACTTTTTACTCTAAATCTATCACGTACCTCACACATGATCACTTTTTTGCTCGATTGTAGTTAAACAAATGACCCGATGCATAATCATTTTTGCCCCTACTTGACCTTTTTATACATAAAAAATAACTACATGTAAGTCACATGGTAATTTCAAGTTAAAATATGATTAAAAACCTAGGATAGGACTAAATTTTACTGACTTAATTTTGTAAGGGACTATTTTAAATATGAAGGATGAACAAATTAATTTGACAAAATTTAGGGACATTTTGAATAATATTTCCTTATATAAACAGTACTAAAATTTTTGTGGGTACAAAAGGGGATATTTGCCCTAGTGCCCCATTGCGGTCTGTAACAACTTGATACATATTCCATTTCTTCCATTAATTTCAGTAATAGGTACCGTTCAGCATGTGTCGATTCACTCCTTAAGAATATTCCTCACTTCAAGTTAATATTTCTTTACTCAAAAATTTTGCACCCCTCCAAAAGAAGGGGAAAATTTTATTCGTAGGATAGCACCCTACATGAATGCTAAAATTGCCAACCATCCAAAAGGACTCGAGTTGAGGTGATTGTTTGACTATATGGGTGAAGGAATACTTACCTAGGATTTTGATTCCTGGAAACATCAAAGCAAACTTGCAAGGTTATTGATGAATAAACAACGTGGGAAATAAGTGTTTTCCCTTTTCTTGAATTGGAAATCTGTTTTCAAAGTGAAGCTGAGATATTCAGGCTTTTTAAGTGCAGCTGAGAATTTCAGGCTTTTTAAGTCTGATGAGCTACAAAATCTAGTTTATATACTTGCATGCAGCATTGTGTGAAACGCTGAGGCTATATCCACCAGTTCCTACTGTAAACAGGACTCCTCTTCACCTAGACAACCTTTCTAGTGGCCAACATGTTCATCCAAACACGAAGGTAATGATTTGTCCATATGCAATATTATGGGGCAAATGGAGCCGATTTGGGGAAAAGATTGTAAGGAGTTTTAAGCCCAAAAGGTCGATTTCTGAACGTGGAAGGGTTAAACATGAACCTTCCTACAAGTTCACGGCCTTCAATGGAGGACCAAGAACTTGCCTAGGGAAGGTAGTGGCTTTTACTCAAACTAGGAGGGGATCACCGCGTGTTGCGCGGTGTTAGTTTTATGTTGCCCAGAAAATGGCCCAATTTTCAAGTGAGGATATCACAAATCGTATGGGTTGCATTTAAGTTATTTGGTTATGAAATAATTAATTTTTTAAATAAGCGATATTGTAGGAAAACGCGAGTAAATAAATGTTTGCATTTTACACGGCATCAAGGAAAAGATCGAAAAGGAAACAATTGCGGTGAATAAAATTGAAGCTCATAATAGATGTTAGGTATTCATAACATATTTACTGCATATTTAATTTCATTGCAATGCAGTTATATTTGGCAGGAATGTAGAGCGCGGTTCAACGAAATAAAAAAGTGAAACATATGCGGTGGAGAGGTTCAAGGGAAGAGGGAACTTCGGTTATAGAGAAAACATACTGCAGAAGTTAGGTACAAGCAGGACAATTAGAATAAATTTTGAAGGTGTAAGACCATGGAAAGACTCTCTCGACCCCATTATCGTCAAAGACTAAAAGTGTGAAGGTAGTTGATGATTCTGGAATGAAGACAAGGATTTCATTGTGCTGCAACTGGTGCTGAAGAACGAAGCTTCTCCAATTTGTTTTCAGTTTTTTTCCTTTTACACCTATGGATGTAATTTTCTCTCCAGTCCTAATAAGAAGCGTTGGAGTTCTTTGTTCATTAACGAAGTGATCGACGAATCTTGGAATTTTCTGATAGAAAAAGAATGAAAGTCAGATATGCGAACATACTATATAGCTTTGGTTTAAAGTAATGCAGTGAGAGACGGAAAAAGAAATAGTGTACAGATAGGTTACCAATGTGTTTGGGCTTGCTGTATTGAAGGTTTGATAGAAGCAAATCGAATTAGCGAGATTTTGGGTTAAATTTGGGTTTATTGATGAAGAAACTAACTGTTGAATTATTATAGAAGCTGCACTATGTGAAGTTATTTAGCAGATAATAAATTAGAGAAGATTTTACTACAATTAACTGCACGATATAAAGGTTAATATAAACTGACCTTGTGCATGAGCAGCAACAGCCTGCAATAAATTTAGTAATGGGACTGTCCAAGATAGGTAAACCTGTTTTTACAGCTCGGAAAAGTGTATGACATCAAAGATGAGATCGCCGGTATGTCATAGAAGCAACATATCATGTTTGTTTGTAATATTTTCACGGCAATATTCATCCCAGCCTTCTTGAAATGAACGATCGCCGACTACAATAGGCCATTTATAAGTTCCATGCCTGAGAATAATTGTATTACGTTGGTGCTGAGTAAGTAATAGTTTGAACTGAGCAGGGAGAATCTGCGTTTTGGCAAAGAAAAATAGGAAATGTCAAATGAACATATATATCTGTACTGCACATTGTTAACAAGTAATTTCGATCACATAGAAGAAAATTAGACCTCTCCTCTGTGATTGCATTTCAGTAGAAAACAACAGGCCATTGAGCCGCTATTTGTTAATCCATAGGTAGATGAACCTTTTGCCATTGATGTGATTGAGAAGCTAATAAAAAAAAAGTGTCAAAGATGCAATCATATGAAGACAAAGACAACAATTGAAAGTTAGAGATAACCCGAGGGAAGTAAGTAGGAAGCTCAACTTGAAGTGTTTTCTGTGTAATATCATTGGTGTAGGCGAGGAGCTTTCTTAAATTGTCATATACTTGGGAAATGCAGCTGTTGTTGGAACTCGTCAAAAAGAGAAGATGAAGAAGAGAATCTTTAGCTGATTTAGTTTGGTTCAATCCTCATCTCTGTTTTAAGTTTAAAAATGAATTTCACTTCTTCAAGTAATTTATGTTCACCATCACCAGGCTGGCTTTTGGAGCAAGTTAGGAAAATTCATCATTTTTACAATTAGATTTAGCTGTTTTGAAATTCAAAAAGAAAGGCTATAATCTTTTTGCTTATTGTCTTCTCTTAAAAGGATTAAGATGTGCCTCTTTATGTTTACTATAAATAATCTTTTGTATCTCAATCAATTGTTTACATGTACTTAGGTTACAGATACCAAGCTTGACAACAGGTCAATCTGCTAGTCCTCCATCTTCATCTCGTATTCATTGGTATCTCACTTGGACAAACATGCATTTGCTAAATCTGGAGAATCCATAAGATAGATATGTTTTGGTTTTGTCAAGTCGACCACCAGGATATGAAAAATGTTACCATGAATACACATACTTCTACAGCTTATGAACTAAGGTCATTGTGAGGCTAATTAATATGGAGATCGAATATTCAGCTGAACAATTTCTCTGCTTTTCAATATTGTGTGTTTTTTGGTTAGATGAATCTTTATTTTACTGATTACCCTTTATGTTGATATTTGCTGTGGTGTCACAGGTTGAAGAACAGTGTGATTCTTGTTCAGTAAATCACACTGGACAATTGTCTGAAAGTTTTGGATCAGATTTATACTCTCAGATGAATGAATCCCAATCTGAAGCCATAAGGGCGTCTCTCCATAAGATGACATGTGACCAGAATTCTCACATTGAACTCATTTGGGGTCCGCCGGGGACCGGGAAAACCAAAACAGTAAGTCAGATTCTCTTTATCCTATTAAGAATGAATTACAGGACTCTTTGTTGTGCCCCAACCAATGTGGCAGTAAATGAAGTTGCATCTCGAGTGGTAAAACTGGTAAAAGAGGCATATGCTGCTGAATCTGAAAAATGTGATCCATTTACTCCATTGGGAGATATTATATTATTTGGAAATAAGGATCGACTAAAAGTTGCCCCTGATATTGAAGATATGTATCTTGACTACCGCGTGAAGAGGCTTGTTGAGTGCTTTGCACCATCAAATGGTTTGAAACATTGTGTGCGTTCTATGATTGATTTGCTTGAGCACGGTGCCTCACACTACCATATCTTTCTGGAAAATGAGCTGATCAAAACCAAGGAAAACAAAGATGAAGCTCCAAAAGATAAGCCACAGTCATTTCTAGAATTCATCAGAGCACGAGTAAAAGCTATTTTACCATCCCTCGGAAGATGTCTGATTACATTCTGCACTCATGTACCAAAAAGTTTTGTTGCAAAACAAAATTTTGAAAACATGGTACATCTGATTTATCTACTTGAGTCTTTGGAGAAGGAGCTTTCTGAAAAGGTTTTGACCTCTGATATACTGGAGAAGCTCTATTCTTCTAGCATAATGGTGGAAGATTTTTCCAAAGCAGTCACATGTACCTGGTTTCTGCCAGATATTAGAAGCAAGTGTCTCTTTGTCCTAAAAACCGTTCATTCAACTCTTGAAAATCTGGGCATCCCAGCCGCTGTGAATGAAGAATCAATAAGGGAACTCTGTTTCCAAATGGCTACCTTGGTTTTCTGCACTGCTTCTACTTCCTACAAGTTGCACAGGACAAATGTGGAGCCACTTAAAGTGCTGGTCATTGATGAGGCTGCCCAATTGAAAGAGTGTGAATCCCTTATACCACTTCAACTACCTGGTTTGAAGCATGCTATTCTTGTTGGTGATGAGTGCCAGTTGCCAGCAAGCGTTAATAGCAAGGTATGCAAATTGCTAGTGAATTTATACAGACCAATAGAATAATCTTACAGGCATGACATCTGATTACCTCAGACATAATATATATCTGTTTACGTATAATATAGATATCTGCCAATGCCGCATTTGGAAGAAGCTTATTTGAAAGGTTGAGTTCATTGGGTCAGCCAAAGCACCTGCTTAACATTCAATATAGAATGCATCCATCTATTAGTTGCTTCCCAAATTCTATCTTCTATTCGGGCAAGATCATGGATGCACCTGAAGTTAGGAGTAAAATGCACGAAAGGTGTTTTCTTCGGGAGAAAATGTTTGGTCCCTATTCATTCATTAATGTCCCAGGTGGAAAAGAAGATAGCGATGGTGATGATTACAGCTTGAGAAATATTGTTGAGGCGGCTGTGGTGGTAAAGATAGTTCAGAAGCTGTACAAAGGCACGTCAAGGCTTCCTAGTTTGAATAATTTCATCTACAAGCAAGTTTTCTGTTGAGAAATATCATAAAATATATGCTGTTGTATTAAGTTTGACTCTCTCGAAGTGCAGGATTGGAAGCAGTTACCTTGTCCATATTTTCAGTTTAGCCTTAGTCCAGTCCAGATAGAACAATGGAAAGGAAAGATATGCCTTCATTCTACAATAGAAAAGGAGTGTGAAAATGAGAAAAAGACACCTTTGGCTAAAGATAGTATAATATTTGACTGAGTAGCTTCTGTTTCATGAATATGCATTTGTCTCTGGAAATCATATGAAGGGCTAGAAAATTGAAGCTTAATGGATCAAAACATCAAATTAAGATTGGTAGAGCCATCTTACATGAATTGCTGGAGTATTGAGGGTGCAAAACTTCTCTCGCTTGTATAATTAATTATCTATTAGGAATGTGATTGAATTTGTAATATGTGTACTTAATACCCATGACATGGTTTTTATGCTACTTTGACTATTGTTTTATTTTTTCCACGTCTTCTTTTACGTAACAAATTACTTTTTTTGGCACAGCTTGGAATGGAACTGATACATCTCTAAGTGTTGGGGTAATATCACCCTACGCTGCTCAAGTTGCACTGGTTCAAGAAAAACTTCGTCACAAGTTTGAAAATCTTGACAATTTTGTTGTGACAGTAAAATCTATAGATGGATATCAGGGTGGGGAACAAGATATTGTTTTATTATCTACTGTAAGAGCCAATAATAAAGGGTCTATTGGTTTCCTATCTAGTCCTCAGAGAACCAATGTTGCTTTGACAAGAGCTCGGTACTTTATCAGCTATATTACTGCAAGGAACTTTTCTCCAATCTTTAATTTCAAATATGCAGAAATTGAATTTTTTGTCCCTTGCTAGGCACTGTCTTTGGATCTTTGGAAATGTGGATACACTGACAAATACTCGATCAGTTTGGAAAGCATTAATTTGTGATGCTAAGGCTCGTGGTTGTTTCTTTAGTGCTGATGAGGACGCTGATGTATCAAACACGATTTTGGATGTGAAGAAAGAGCTGGATCAGATGGAGGATTTGCTTAATGGGGATAGCACACTTTTCAAACAGCAACGGTGGAAGGTAATGTTCAGTTGTTTGCTTCTTTATGGTATCAATTTAGGTAACATTCCTGGCAGCATACTTGCACATACTGGAATAACATGTCCATCTAGGAAACTATGACTATAAAAGTTTGCATGACAGTTTGGACGGTATCAAATTTTGTATTAACATGCTGCACTTTCTTTTCTCCATTCAAAATTTCTTCGTGTTTATGTTCCTTTTAGTGTAGCATCATCGTTATGATATCAATATTATGTATTCTGTCCATATATAGTTGTTTGGATATATACCTAATCCGTTGTGGATTTTCTGTTGTCTATTTTAGTTAGCGAAAATCTGCAAGGCATCCTTTCTTTTTTCAAATTTTCTTGTATAGTTTAATCATTTTGGTTATTTTGGATTTGAATTTCTGGTTTATTCATGAATCTTTTTATTACTTTTATATGTTATGTCACAGGTTTTATTTAGTGATGACTTTCAGAAATCATTTAGAAAGATGACTTCCACCCGCATGAAGAAGTTAGTCCTAAACCTGTTGCTTAGTCTTGCCAGTGGCTGGCGACCTAAGAAAATAAATGTGGACTTAGTTTGTGAAAGATCTTCACAGATTGTGAAACATTTTAAGGTTGAGGGGCTCTATGTGGTGTGCTCAATAGACATTGTTAAGAAATCAAATTACATGCAAGTCTTGAAGGTGTGGGATATATTACCTCTGGAGGAGATCCCAAAGCTGCTGAAACGTCTTGATAACATTTTCAACATGTATACTGATGATTTCATCAATCAATGCAAACAGAAATGTCTTAAAGGGTAACTTTTTTCTTCGTATTAACTGAATTCCACTTTTAATGGGACAGCATTAACATATTTGCTAGTGCTTTTTCCTTTTATTTACTTGTTCAGGAGAGCAGAGCTTCCAAAGTGTTGGCCCAACTCATCAAAGATAATCCGACATAAGAACATGAATAATGGCAAATCTGTTGCAGATTCTACTGATAGCGCCTTGGATGGAGGATGTTATGCTGAAAATTCGAGAGTTAGCGAAAGCTTGCAACTCATGAAGTTTTACTCCCTATCACCTGGTGCTGCGAGTCATTTACTTTTCAGTCGTGATGGTCAGGAATTGGATCTGCCTTTTGAAGTTACAGATGAAGAGTGGGAAATTATTCAATTCTGCAAAAGCAGCTTCATCCTTGGGCGATCTGGCACAGGGAAAACTACTGTCCTGTCCATGAAGTTATTCGAGAAAGAACAAATCTACCATATTGCTTCGGAAGGATTTACTACAGCTGAGAATAGTATGTCTACGAGCGTCTTGAAGAGAACTGAGTTTGATCACTCTACAGGAGTGACGAGGGAGACATTTTTGCGCCAGCTTTTTGTGACAGTAAGCCCAAGACTATGTTCTGCAGTCAAACATCATGTTTCCCGTGTGATAAGGTAACCACTAACCAGTGATTAAGTACAATTTGTTTGTATGTGCTTTAATGTACTGTTCGATTCATACTCATTGCTGCTCTAATTGTCTAACTTAGCTTACTTGGATGTGCTGTTTTAGCAGTCATGCTACATAGTATAGATACGATGGAGTTCAACTACATGCTGTATGTGAGGCCATTTACATTTTATCATAGTTCTAAAAGATTAGAATATGTATTAGGTTGAAGTCTGTGCAGGACATAATGTTCTGAGAAGGCATTTGGCATGTCAGTTCAGATATAGTTCAGGAAAGGAAAGAGATCACACGAGCAACTTAATTTTGGGATATGTCCCCAAGACCCAGTTTAGCTTGTAGGGACATTAGCTAGGTGATGGTGAGGTCCCAGGTTCTCCAGCCCTCCCTTTCCCCCTTCCCCTTATTAGGTTTGGAGCCTCTCGTTGAATAACCAAAAAAGAAAAGGAACATCACAGAAATCCATGCGGCAATGAACTCTAGCAGCAAATCAATTCACACTTCTAATCGTTGTGTAGTTGGTGGAAAGTTATGTGAGATATGCTGGATTTTTCCTAGCAGCTCGTTTTGTGATTACATGATACAGTTAGCATTCTGACATACTAGACTTCTTCTTTAAAATAATATCCTTTTACATAGTACAGAGAAAACTAAAGTATTCTTAATAATTATATCTCTAACCTTAACTGTCTTGAGTGCAGTTTTGCTTGCAGTGGAAATTTCCCATCTGAAACCAGTTTGAATGATGCCGAAGATGTGGAAGATATAGAACAGTTTAAAGATATACCAGATTCTTTTGTTGGCATTCCTTCCGAAAAGTACCCTCTTGTCATTACATTTCATAAGTTTTTGATGATGCTTGATGGGACAATCGGTGATTCATATTTCAGACGATTTCCTGAGATGACGAAGATAATGGACTTTTCTGTTGGTATAAGTGGAAATTTCAGATCTGCTGTTCTGCAATCTCTCTTACGAATGAAGGAGGTAAATTATGAGAGGTTTTGTTTCCATTATTGGCCTCACTTCAATTCACAACTGACGAAGAATCTTGATTCTTCAAGAACATTTACGGAGATAATATCTCACATTAAAGGAGGCTTGCTAGCTGGGGAAGCCCCTGATGGTAAATTGAGCAGGCAAGAATATGTTTCCATGTCTAATAGTAGGGCATCAACCCTGAGCTCAGATGAGAGAGAGCTGATCTATACTGTTTTTCAAGCTTACGAGAAGAAGAAATTACAGCGTGGTGAATTTGATCTGTCTGATTTTGTTATTGACCTTCATCTTAGGCTGAAGAGCAAGAGTCTGGAGGGTGATAAAATGGATTTTGTGTACATTGACGAAGTGCAAGATCTTGCTATGAGTCAGATAGCTCTGTTCAAGTATATCTGCAAAAATGTGGATGAAGGTTTTGTCTTTTCTGGTGATACAGCTCAAACTATTGCCAGGGGTACTGATTTTAGGTTTGAAGATATACGATCTCTATTCTATAATGAGTTCATAATGAAATCAAAGAGTGACAAATATGTTGAAAGAAGAGAGAAAAGACGTATGTCAGAAATTTTGAATTTGCACCAGAACTTCCGTACTCATGCTGGAGTACTTAAATTAGCACAGAGTGTCACAGACATTCTTTACCAATTTTTCCCTCAATCTGTTGATATTTTGAAACCTGAAATTAGCTTTATATATGGTGAAGCTCCTATTCTGCTTAAGCCTAACGAGAGTGCTATTGAGATTATTTTCGGAAAGACTGCAAAGACTGGTGGGAAAGTAGTAGGCTTTGGTGCCGAACAGGTTATACTAGTACGTGATGATTCTGCTCGGGAAGGAATTTCTAGAGATGTAGGAAATCATGCTCTTGTTCTTACAATACTGGAATGCAAGGGTCTAGAGTTTCAGGTGATTGATTGTCATTTACTACCAAGTGATTCTCTAACCAACCGTTTATGAGTATGACCAAGGGCCTGGGAAAACTGAATGCATGCCTAGCTGCTTTTATTTCTTCCATTTAGTGATTTCTTTGCTAAAGATTTTCCTCATTTTCATTCAAAATTTACTCTGTGTCTTGATTGGGTTATTGTACAATTTGCAGGATGTCTTACTGTACAATTTTTTCAGTTCATCGCCTCTGAAGAACCAATGGAGAGTGGTGTATGACTTCGTGGAGAAAAAAGATCTACGTGATTCTTGTTTCCCTAGGTGCTTTCCTAGTTTTAGTCATGCAAGACACAGTATCCTTTGTTCTGAATTGAAACAATTATACGTGGCAATTACGCGGACAAGGCAGAGACTGTGGATTTGTGAAGATAGTGAGGAGTTTGCTGCACCCATGTTTGACTTCTGGAAGAAGTTGGGCCTTGTGCAAGTAAAGGAGGTGGATGAATCATTTTCACAAACGATGCTAATGGCGAGCAGTCCTGCAGAGTGGAAATCAAGGGGTATAAAGGTTGGACTGCTCTCTAAAGTTTCTGCTACCGCAGCTTCTATGCATTTTATGCTTCGCGTTTGCTGTGCATGTTATCATTCATTCTGGAATCTACAAAATTTTTCTTTATATTTTAATGCAGCTTTACCAGGAGAACAAGTATCATATGGCAACCATGTGCTTTGAAAGGGCAGGAGATACAAATTGGGAGAAACGGGCCAAGGCTGCTAGCCTGAGGGCAACTGCTGATCAGCTGCGTGAGTCAAATCCTCAAGAGGCTTGTACAATACTCAGACAGGCTGCTGAGTTGTTCGACTCCATTGGCAGAGCTGAGTCTGCAGCTGAATGCTTCTGTGATTTGGGGGATTACGAAAGAGCAGGTATGATGTATCAATGTCTCCTTAGTTATATATCTTTTAATATAACTCTTATAGACATACTTTTGTTTTATTGTCGGCGCCAGGGAGAGGGGAAGGGGTGAGGGGTGGGTGGTTGTTTTTTGTAGTTATGGTTCAATAACAGCTGGTGTCCTTTGGTTTGACAGTGGTATTTTACTTGTGCAAACAATTAACTGGAAAAGCATAGTCTTGAAGTTCAACCTTTTGAATCTTGCTGCAGGAAGAATTTACTTTGATAAATGTAGAGATCCTAAAAAAGCAGGTGATTGTTTCACTTCGGCTAAAAGTTACGAACTTGCAGCGAAGGCTTATGCTGATGGCCATTACTTCTTGGAGTGTTTGTCCGCATGTACTCAGGGTAATCTTTTTGAAATGGGAAGGCAATATATTAAGAAATGGAAACAGGCTGCTGGTGGTGGTAATGGTACCGCCAAACAAAGTAAGGAAATCAAACAAGCCGAACAAGAGTTTTTGGAGAGTTGCGCTTTGAGCTACTATAAGCTCAAGGATCATAAATCAATGACAAAATATGTTAAAGCCTTCCTTACTATGGATTCAAGGCGGAAATTCCTGAAAAGCATAGGCTGTCTTGATGAGCTTTTGCTGTTGGAAGAAGAATTTGGAAACTTCAAGGAGGCTGTGGAAATAGCGAAGTTGAGAGGGGATTACGAAAGAGCAGGCATGATATCTCAATGTCCCCTATGTTTTTTAATACAATTATTATAGACATACTTTTGTTTTATTGTGGGAGGGAGAGGGGATGGGGTTTTTGTTGTTGGGGGGGGGGGGATTTGTTGTTGAGGAACTGGTTGTTTTTTGTAGTTATCTTTGGTTTGAAAATGGTATTTTACTTGTGCAAACATTTAACTGGAAAAGCATAGTCTTGAAGTTCAACCTTTTGAATCTTGCTGCAGGAAGAATTTCCTTTGATAAATGTGGAGATCCTAAACAAGCGGGTGATTGTTTCACTTTGGCTAGAAGTTATGAACTTGCAGCAAAGGCTTATGCTGATGGCAATTACTTGTTGGAGTGTTTGTCTGTGTGCACTCAGGGGAGTCTTTTTGAATTGGGAAGGCAATACATTACGAAATGGAAACAGAATGCTCCTGGCGAAATGGAAATTGAAAAAATTGAACAAGAGTTCTTGGAGAGTTGCGCTTTGAGTTATTATAAGCTCAAGGATTTTAAATCCATGATAAAATATGTTAGAGCTTTCCTTTCTATGGATTCCAGACGTAACTTCCTGAAATGCATAGGCTGTATTGATGAACTTTTGTTGTTGGAAGAAGAACTCGGAAACTTCGAGGAAGCTATAGAAATAGCAAAGTTGAGAGGGGATCTGCCACGGGAGGCAGACCTGCTTGGGAAGGCAGGCCATCTCAAGGAAGCATCCTTACTCATCATTTCATTTGTGCTTCATCGCTCTCTATGGGTGACTGGAAATAGAGGTTGGCCCTTGAGGCCATTTCGACAGAAACAAATACTGCTAAAGAAAGCTATGTCATTCGCACAGGAAGAATCGAATGAGTTCTATGAACGCATTCGCAGAGAGGTTGAAGTTTTGTCACATGAGCATATTAGCTTGCATGAGTTGCTTCAGTCTCTCACTTATTCAGAGCTATGTAAAAATCTGACAGTTGAATTGATATCTATCCGGAGGATCCTGGATGCTCATCTTGATTGTACAGCACGGAAGTTTGAATGGGAAGATGAATTGCAAGTTGATATGAAAAAGCATTCAGAAGATAAGATTTCACTTAACCACATCTCCGTTGGTTCACTCATGTATTTTTGGGATATGTGGAGAAGGAACATGTTAAATATCATGCAATATCTCAAAACAGTGGAAAAACCAGATGATAATGAATGGTTTGAATATGGTGAGTTCTGTTTGAACTATTTTGGTGTGAGGAGGCAGGTCATCAATTCAAATGTAGCATATATACTGTTGAACTCAGATGCTGAATGGGTGAAAACAACTGGTTCTGTATTCAAGCAGAAGCAGCAAAGCGAGAACCAGGTATCCATTGATGGTCGAAAATTTGCGTCTGCTGCTCTGAGTCATTGCCAGGCTGAAGTAGTTTCTGTCAGCCTGAAGGTACTTGACACTGTTGAAGCTCTTTATAAGTTGTCAATAAGGGAGTCATTCTCCCTATTTTGCCAAAGCATGCGCCTCATTGATATCTATCAGTTGATGAAATTTTTGACTGAGTCATTCAAATTCAATGATAGTGTTAAAAGGAGGCTAGAAAATTTCCTGTGGACACCAATTACGTACTTTAAATATGTATTTCCACTAGACTGTTGCAAATCATTGGTGGAAAACATGATCTCTTTAAGGAAAACTGAGCTCTCACGGAGTCTACTTGAAGAGGTTATTGTTGACAATATCAGTAACAAGGGTGACCTTACCTACGGTCAAATTGGGAGGGTGGTAATGATTTGGCTTGGATCTGGAAAACCAACAGATGATCTGTACATGAAGATAGCAAAAAGATTTGAAAAGAATTTTTCGTGGAGAGCATTCATTGATTCTTTGCAAGTATCTTCATTGAGGCATTCTGGGATAACAGAATCAAGATCCTTGGGTGATCCTTCATCAAATACTTCAGCTGAAGATTGGAAGAAGTTTTCACTGATTGATAGCTTCCACGAAGCTTTGAGAGATACTTATCTTGCAAATTGGAGGTCATATGACTATGTATCACCTGATTGTTTAATATATCTTGTTGAACGCCTGCTACTCCTTGTATTTCATTCCAAGGATTACTTTTTCACAACAAAGTATTCTTTTGTGGAATGGCTTGTTTATCTTAAAGCAGACATGTATCCAGATGTGAGTTCAGTAGCTGACACGCAGTTGTCTCCTGAAATCATATTTGATTCTGTTGTTATGATGGTTGAACAGTTTCTTTTTAATAAGCGGGAGACAGCATCATGGATTGCAAAATCAAAATTTGATGTAGATCAGTATCATCCACTACTAGCATTAAGGCTTGTGGTTATCTTGTGCTTGCTCCACTTGAACTCAGGCAAGTATTCTAATGTTCTTTCTCATCTGCTTGATCAGTCTCATATTAGTTCGCAGCTGCCAATGCCATTCATTCAGGCACTTAGGCCAAGAAGAAAGCTTAATTTGACTCAGGATTGGTTTAGTTTAAATGCAACTGTAGAAGCATTCAGAAGGATTGGAAATCCTCTTGTGATTGTGCATTTGAGAGAAAATAGTCCAAAATTTGCGTGTCCTGCAATCATCATTGACACAGCTTTGACACCAAGAATTGATGACATCACGAGAAACTTGTTCCGAAAGCAAGGAAGTTACCATCAGCAAAGGCCTATGGTTGAAGCAAATGCTCCGAATTTGTGTGAAGGACTTGTTCATAATGCTGAGTCTCTCATGTCAATTGACATTTCTGCGGCACCAGATCAGAAAATGAGCACAGGCAGTGGAACTGAAAGGAACCCACAGATGTACTCAGGCCTTTCTGAAAAAATCTTTGATGTGCAAATATCAACAGAGAAAAGACAACATGAAGAGTGATCAAGCTGTTCTAATGTTTCTCAATTTAAGGTAATCACAAATGGATTGCTTAGGTCTGCTCAGCTGCTTTGTGGATTTTGTGTTTAATAATCATACAAGCACTTCCATGTAATAGCTTTAACAACTCTCTTTTATGCTGCTCGTTTCCAGGAGGAATTGGAAGAAAGTACAAGCTTTTTAACTGCTGGACTGAATGTAAAGAAATTTCTTCCTTGTGGTAGTGTAAACCAATTCGGTGAAGCAAGCAGCATGCTTGACGAAATCAAGCAATTTGATGCTAGGTAAGTTCATAACCACAGCTTTTAAATACTTGAAATCGAATGCTTGCAATGGTCTGGTAAAAGTTTTCTTAGACTAAAACATTAGGGTGACAACTGACAATTGATATCCATGGTTTTTGCATATGGACTTTATCTAGAAAGCTGAATTTGTGGCACTATTCCAGGTAAAGGGTTGCTTAATTTTCATATTGGTTGGCAATTGAACCAAGTAGTAGTGAAACAAAAGAACTTCTGCTGCTTTCATGATTGCAGATTGTGCAACTTCCCTAGTTTGCTACATTCAATACCTGACTATACAATTTTTATGTTTAGCTTTTCAAGTGTCAGCTTCGATAGTTTACTCGAAGTTTCATTGATGTTTTTCCCCCACCAGTGATATTATACAGACTGGAAACTTGCAAGGAATTGGATCACTTCTGAAGAGCTTGCAGTCAAAGTGGCCTAGGCTGGAGGCTTTTCTAAATCACTAGTGATACCGTACGTGCGTTGCACGTGGTTGGATGATATGTAGTTATATCATTTTGTTCTGTTTTTATATTGAGTTTACCTTTGTAATGTAGAGTTGGGAATAGAAGCAAGGGTGGGAATTGCATGTTACAAAATATTGTAAAGTAAGCAATGCAAAGCAATCTTATTGAATGTAAGACGAAGAAAAAGAGAAGATATTAAATGTGAAATAGTAATCATTAGTGTTTTAATTTTCTCGACTTTTATCTTCTTTTTCAATTGACTTTTGAGCTTGGATGCATTACTTCTTGCTCCCCCTTTTTTGGTTTTGAAGGACTGTAGTGGAACATCATCGTCAATTTCAATCACCTTTGAATTTTTCTCTTTTATTATGCTTTGCCGAGCATGTTGTTCAGATGCAATAGATGGAGTGGCATCTTCTTGTTTATTTGTATTTGGTAGTTGCTCGAATGCTATTGCTACCATTGATGGATGTCCATGAGAGGAGTGCCCAATCCTATTAAGCTTGATGAGGAATTTGAACTCCTTATGCTTTGCGGCAATCATTTTCTTATACAACTTTGATTTCTCCTTGTCCCGTTCGGTTTTCAGTATTTGTAAATCAGATAGGTTTAAATTGAATGCTTAACTATTAAGAGTTGATGTGTTTATTATTTTAATAATTTTTAGGAACTTACCTTGAAAGATGTAGTGCTATCTATATATTCTTGTATTGGGCATCCAATAAAATTAGTTGCCAAGTCTTCAAATAATATTATTGTTGCCACATCTTGTCCATTGACGACTTCCATCCTTATATTGTACCTATTTTGGAAATGATATTAAGTTGTTAACTGTGCTTTTCAAGTTTGTCATTTTAAAGTCTAGCTTTCATGTCATGTATTTAATTGAGTGACTTACCTTAGTGTAAAATCTTTTGTTGGATAATTGCATTTGGGGCATTCTGCATCTTTTTTCGAAATTGATAATTTTGGTGCTGCATCCTTTAAAAGCATTATAGTATAGTTCGGCTTTGTTCTCTATATCGGTAACAATTGCGTTGGAAATGCAGAAAGCATGCTGCAAAAAGCAGTTATTTGTTATTGTTTTTATGATGTTTGGCTTTTTTTTTCGAGGAATTTTCTAAATTGAAGATTTATGAGGCGATAAATTTACCTCTTTCAATGAATGTTGTTGATGAATAATATTTTTGAGTTGAATGTGCTTGGCCAAGTCCATCTTGTTCTTCAAGATTGCAGCTTCAAGATTTTCACTTTTCTTTGTAGTAATCCTATATAAATTTTCAGTATTGTAATTCAAGGCATTCAATTTGTATAAAAAAAAAAGGTCTAAAAAAATTGTATTCATACCACTTTTGAAGTTTCAAAACTTCTTTGCAATTTGGATTGACTTGTAGAGTTGACATGAATGTTGTTGACAGATGAAACTCTCCTAGAATATTTTAAAATGTTAAGTTGTAATTATAATGTTATTTTATTTTTACTATTGATATTTTTACCTTGGTATTCAAACATTTGGAATTGTATTGCTGCAATTGCTGGCTTTTGAGATGCAACTTCTTGTGGAAATTGAGCTTCATTAATTGTCATATCTCCCCATAAGATGATTTTCATAGTGGCAAACCTATAGTGTGAGGATAATTTTTATATTTTAATATAAAAATGTTAGGCATGAAGTAATGACTGCGAAGTTGTGAAATAGAAAATGTATTAGGTGGCCGAATTATGAACACTCTACATATAAAGGAAAAAGTGATGCTGGACGTATGTTTTTTTTTTAATGCTTGGAGCTTCAAACATTTATATAGTAAGAAAGCAAGCTAAAAAGTAATCTTACTTTTTGTTTATTATGGTGATTTCTCTCTTGTGAGTGTATCCACCTTTTCTTTTTGGAAGCACCAATATTTGAGCCATACTTGTAACAACTCACTCCAATGACATCTGTAGAAAATAAGTTTATTTTGAATGTAAATAAGTACAATGATTCAGCCTAGTAGTGTAGAAAATTGTTAGAAGTTTTGCAGAAGAAATTTCATTGATTTTGGAAGAAAATGTTACCTATTCATTTGTTGATAAAGTATGGATTTTTTGCCTCTTCAAACTCGATAGGTGCATAGATAATGTTCCTTGTTGGTACATGAGAACGGTCTTTTTTTATGTGAGTGTAATTTCGTAGGACCAATTCAATCTCATTGTTGACATTTGCATACGAAGTGTTTGTTTTATTCACACTTCCATTTGAAAGTAAGTACAACTTATTGTATTGAAAATTATTTCCAAATCTTGTGATGATATCATCAAACATGATAGCTTGAATTTTTGTTCCCTGTAAATTTATTAAAATGTAAATAAGAAATGGTAATAAATTGCAAAATATAAATAAAAAATTAACAGATGAACATGAAAGTATATATTTTCTCACTTTATCATGGACCAAAATTAAATTTTGCAAAGTTGAAGAAGAAGTAGAAAAAGGAATAAATATAGTGGTGATTTGATTATTGGTTGCCATAGTAAATAGACAGAATATTAGAGTTTTTTTTGTAATTTTTTTAAAAAAAATAGGAGTAAGCTTTGACATGTTCACTTTTTAAGGGTGTTGGAAATTGGGTGTAGAACTTAATAAAGATGCAATATTTATATAAATGTAATGTTGTCTTCTATGTCATATGAATTAATTTTTTCAGTTTCTGTGATTAATTCGTTGTTTACCTTCATATGATTTTAAGATTGTATTTTAAGTTTTGGTAGGGGTTTTCAATTTTTGCTTTTTAGCTGTTAATGATTGGTGTAAATGATTCGTAGTGGTATTTTAGTTGGTGTTAATGATTGATAGTGTTATTTTAGTTGGTGTTAATGATTGATAGTGTTATTTTAGTTTTAGATTTTCTGTAACCTGACCATTTAGTTTTTAATTTTCATTATAATTGTAGGGGCTGTATGATTGCAAGCCATAATTTTGAAAACTGGAAAGGTGCAACCCGCATTAGGTCAGGAGTAGTACATAGCACACCCTGATGGTGAGACTATGGTAGATGAAATTCAACTCTTTGAAGATGCAAGATGGGTTTCAGCTCAAGGAGCTATCGAGAGAATTTTTGAATTCAATCTTAATGAGATGTCCCCAGCAGTCATCAATTTGCAAGTGCATCTCCCTGGAAATAAAATGTGTGACTTATTGAAAGGATCAAAATCTAAAAAATCTTCTGCAATGGTTAATCTTATTGGAATGTTATTCTCATCTTCTTGGTTCATTTGTTATTCACTTTATGTCATTTTATGAATAGTTTTCAGTTTTTTTTTTCAGTTTTTCTTGTTTTGAGGGTTGCTATTAATGCACTACCACTTACAACTATATCCTGGATGCTATTTTTTTTTGGAAAGTGATTTCATGTCCCGAGAATATGCAATGGATGACATTTTCTCTATTAAATATGATGTTTTTAGTTTTGGAGTTCTAGTCACTTGTGACCCTTTGTCTTATCTTGGGTGCAATAATTAAACTTTAACCCACAATTAAGATTATATGAAACCTTAACAACAAATTTAAAAGGGCATAATTGAAAGAACAAAATTTCTAGTCACTTGTGACCCTTTGTCTTACCTGGGTACAATAATTAAATTTTAACCCACAATTAAGATTAAATGAAGCCTTAACAACAAATTTAAAAGAGCATAATTGGAATAATAGGAATTAAGATCAAAATACTGCTTACACCCACACTCCAAAATAAACTCATGGTACTTTTTATACACTACCACTTACAACTATATCCTGGATGCCTTTTTTTTTGGGCAGTGGTTTCATGTTCCTTGAATATGCAATGGATGACATTTTCTCTATTAAATATGACGTTTTTAGTTTTGGAGTTCTAGTCACTTGTGACCCTTTGTCTTACCTTGGGCACAATAACTAAACTTTAACCCATAATTAAGATTATATGAAATCTTAACAACAAATTTAAAATGGCATAATTGGAATAACAGAAGTTCTAGTCACTTGTGACCCTTTGTCTTACCTTGGGTGCAATAATTAAACTTTAATCCACAATTAAGATTAAATGAAGCCTTAATAACAAATTTAAAAGGGCATAATTGGAATAACAAAAACTATGATCAAAATACTGCTTATACTCGCACTCCAAAGTAGACTCATGGTACTTTTTATATAGTAATGATAATGATTTAATTGTGCCAAGGGAAACTGCTTCTGGGATAGTTTCTGATGCTGAGCCTAAGGAGGAAAATGATGGCAAAAATTTGTTTAGAGGAACTGATAACACACAGCCTGAGGGGGTAATTGGGAAAGTCCCTGAAGAAAAGGTCAAGAATTAGCCTTCTGATGTTGCTTCTGCTTCCCAAAACAATGACAACAATAAGGCCTCTCAAAGCAAACAGGGCAAGGGAAACAACAAGAAGAAGAACAAAAATGGAGAGAAAGGAGGTAGAAAAAAGTTAAACTGTAACAGCTAAACTGTATCTCAGATATCATTCTCATGTTTTTGGTCTAATTTTATGAATCTCAGATCTCAGTAATGAACTTTTCTTCTACTTTTATTTGGTCTTGAGAATTGGAGAAGGTTGCCAAGGATAGTTATCATAAGATGCAGGAAAATGACCAATTATTGTAGTCAAGAAAACAAATTACAGCACCTCAACCTACTGAGTACTTCACTATAAGTAGTTGCAGGCACAAAACCTACTTGCAATCCTTCTCATTTGGCTTTTCTGAGGTGCACTTGGAATGAACAAAAAGGTTTGGTATGAAGAAGTTTGATTCTTATTTTAGTTTTTATATAATTCCATGTTGTTTTATGTATCGCTTCAAACTATTGCACAAAAAATGCATATTATTCAAAATCAAAACTAGCTTAGGTTACAGACAAAACAAGGGACTAAATTAACAGACATGAGAACTTAATGAATCCCAAATATTGGAAAATCATGGTAAAAATGAGTAGACAATTCCGTTTGAATTGGCCTTTTTTATAAATAAGTTTTTCAACAAAAAAAAAATACAACGTTACAGTAATACATAAATAAAAATAATTCAAGAAAAATAAATTTCAAAAAATATTTTGCATAGACACTAATACAGTAAAATATTTAAAAAAAATACACCTGAAAATAGCTAAATCAAACGAAAATTCCAAAGATGGAATAAAAATACTCAAATAAATCCTCAACCAAAATGTACTAACATTTATCATTCCCAACCCAAATTCCCCTCCCAAAAGCACC